TGTTAGTGACGTGTTATTGATGGTGTTATTGAGGTGTTATTGATGGTGTTATGACGGTGTTATTGATGGTGTTATGGGTGTTATGGTGTTATTGATGGTGTTAGTGACGGTGTTATTGAGGTGTTATTGATGGTGTTATTGATGGTGTTAGTGACGGTGTTATTGATGGTGTTATTGATGGTGTTAGTGACGGTGTTAGTGACGGTGTTATTGACGGTGTTATTGATGGTGTTAGTGACGGTGTTATTGATGGTGTTAGTGACGGTGTTATTGGTGTATTGATGGTGTTAGTGACGGGTATTGTGGTTAGTGACGGTGTTATTGATGGTGTTATTGATGGTGTTAGTGACGGTGTTATGGTGTATGATGGTGTTAGTGACGGTGTTAGTGACGGTGTTAGTGACGGTGTTAGTGACGGTGTTAGTGACGGTGTTAGTGACGGTGTTAGTGACGGTGTTATTGACGGTGTTATTGACGGTGTTATTGACGGTGTTAGTGACGGTGTTAGTGACTGGTGTTATTGACGGTGAATGGTTTAGTGCGGTAGTGATGTCAGTGAAGTGTTGGTGCGTGTGTTGTGACAGGTGGTGATACGTGGTGTCAGTATTGGTGTTGGTGTCAAGTTAGTGAGTGTATGGTGTGTTGATTCGTGATGTGTTGTTAGTGATGGTGATGTCAGTGATGGTTCGAAGGTGTCATTATAGCTGTGGCGTGGCTCAGCGATAGTGTCATGGTGTCATAATGGTGTGATGGTGTCATGAGTGTTCATTGAGTGCGGTGTGTGTAGGTGTTAGTAATGGTGTCATAGGGTGCATTAAGGTGTAGTGTCAGGTGTATAAGTGTATGGTGTCAGTAGGTGCCATTAAAGGTGTGTGTAGGTGTTAGTGATGGTGTCATGGTGTCCATTAAAGGTGTGTGTAGGTGTTAGTGATGGTGTCAGTGGTGTCATTAAAGGTGTGTGTAGGTGTTAGTGATGGTGTCAGTGGTGTCATGAAGGTGGTGTAGTTTAGGTGTGTCAGTGGTGTCATTAAAGCTTGTGTAGGTGTTAGTGATGGTGTCAGTGGTGTTGATTGTAAGGTGTGTAATGGTGTCATAGGTGTCATTAAAGGGTGTTGTGATGGTGTCAGAGGTGTCATTAAAGGTGTGTATGGTGTCAGAGGTGTCATTAAAGGTGTGTATGGTGTCAGAGGTGTCATTAAAGTGTGTAATGGTGTCAGAGGTGTCATTAAAGGTGTGGTGTGGTGTCAGAGGTAGTCATTAAAAGTGTGTAATGGTGTCAGAGGTGTCATAAAGGTGTGTGGGTGTCAGTGGTGTCAGTAAGGTGGTGGGGTGTCAGTGGTGTCATAAAGGTGTGTATGGTGTCAGTGGTGTCATTAAAGGTGTGGTGGCGGTGTCAGAGGTGTCAGTAAAGTGTGGTGGCGGTGTCAGAGGTGTCAGTAAAGGTGTGGTGCCGGTGTCAGAGGTGTCAGTAAAGGTGTGTGCTGGTGTCAGAGGTGTCAGTAAAGGTGTGGTGGCGGTGTCAGAGGTGTCAGTAAAGGTGTGGTGCCGGTGTCAGAGGTGTCAGTAAAGGTGTGGTGCTGGTGTCAGAGGTGTCAGTAAAGGTGTGGTGGCGGTGTCAGAGGTGTCAGTAAAGGTGTGGTGCGGTGTCAGAGGTGTCAGTAAAGGTGTGGTGCTGGTGTCAGGGTGTCAGTAAAGGTGTGGTGCTGGTGTCAGAGGTGTCAGTAAAGGTGTGGTGCTGGTGTCAGTGGTGTCAGTAAAGGTGTGGTGCTGGTGTCAGTGGTGTCAGTAAAGGTGTGGTGCTGGTGTCAGGGTGTCAGTAAAGGTGTGGTGCTGGTGTCATGAGGTGTCAGTAGGTGTGGGTGTCGGTGTCAGTGGTGTCAGTAAAGGTGTGGTGCTGGTGTCAGTGGTGTCAGTAAAGGTGTAGGTGTGACGTTGTCAGAGGTGTCAGTTGGTGTTAGATTGTAGAGTTATGGTGTCAGATTAAAGGTAGTGCTGGTGTCAGGAGTCATAAAGGTGATATGACAACTATTACCTTACATACCAAACTAATTAATACTTGTACTAATCTTAATACAACTTCAGTAAGTACTACACACTACAACCACAACCAGCACTACCACAATATCACCACAACCAACACTGCCACAACACCCATAACCAGCACTACCACAACTACAACCTCAGTAAGTACCCTCCACCACTACCAATACAACCACAACCAACGACTACCACAACTACAACCACAACCAAACACTACCACAACTACACCACAACCACACTACCACAACTACAACCACAAATACCAACACTACACTAAACCCATAACCAGCACTACCACAACTACAACCTCAGTAAGTACTACCACAACTACAACCACAACCAACACTACCACAACACCCATAACCAGCACTACCACAACTACAACCTCAGTATCTACCACAACTACAACCACAACCAACACTACCACAACACCCATAACCAGCACTACCACATCTACGAACCTCATAGTACTACCACAACTACAACCAATCACTACACACAAACACCCATAACCAGCACTACCACAACTACAACCTCAGTAAGTACTACCACAACTACAACCAACACTACCACAACACCCATAACCAGCACTACCACAACTACAACCTCAGTAAGTACTACCACAACTACAACCAACACTACCACAACACCCATAACCAGCACTACCACAACTACAACCTCAGTAAGTACTACCACAACTACAACCAACATACACAACACCCATAACAGCACTACCACAACTACAACCTCAGTAAGTACTACCACAACTACAACCAACACATACCACAACACCCATAACCAGCACTACCACAACTACAACCTCAGTAAGTACTACCACAACTACAACCACAACTAACACTACCACAACACCTAACACACTACCACAACTACAACCCAGTAACTACTACCACAACTACAACCACAAGCTAACACTACCACAACACCCATAACCAGCACTACCACAACTACAACCTCAGTAAGTACTACCACAACTACAACCACAACTAACACTACCACAACACCCATAACCAGCACTACCACAACTACAACCTCAGTAAGTACTACCACAACTACAACACAACAACACTACCACAACACCCATAACCAGCACTACCACAACTACAACCTCAGTAAGTACTACCACAACTACAACACAACAACACTACCACAACACCCATAACCAGCACTACCACAACTACAACCTCAGTAAGTACTACCACAACTACAACACAACTAACACTACCACAACACCCATAACCAGCACTACCACAACTACAACCTCAGTAAGTACTACCACAACTACAACCACAACTAACACTACCACAACACCCATAACCAGCACTACACAACTACAACCTCAGTAAGTACTACTCACTACCAAACCAACACTACCACAACACTCCATAACCAACACTACCACAACTACAACCTCAGTATACTACAACTACAACACAACCAACACTCCACAACACCCATAACCAGCACTACCACAATCTGCAACCTCAGTAAGTACTACTACAACCAAACTAACACTACACAACACTCATAACCAGCACTACCACAACTACAACCTCAGTAAGTACTACCACAGCTACAACCAACACTACCACAACACCCATAACCAGCACTACCACAACTACAACCTCAGTAAGTACTACCACAACTAACACTACCACAACACCCATAACCAGCACTACCACAACTACAACCTCAGTAAGTACTACCACAACTACAACCACAACCAACACTACCACAACACCCATAACCAACACTACCACAACTACAACCTCAGTACTGCCACAACTACAACCACAACCAACACTACCACAACACCCATAACCAGCACTACCACAACTACAACCAACACTACCACAACACCCATAACCAGCACTACCACAACTACAACCTCAGTAAGTACTACCACAGCTACAACCACAACCAGCATTACCAGTTACAACCATAATCAGTGCTAAAGCAACCACAAAGAACACTGTCGCAAGTTCAAGAACCAGCACTACCACAACCACAACTGGCACTACAACTAGCACTCCAACCAAAGCCAGAACTACTGTGAACATCACTTGAAATTACTACCACCCACTGTTGCCAAAACTACCATGATAACCGTAAACTACCACCACCATTACCGTATAGCCAGAACTTTCACCATTACCATAACCAGAGGTATTACCATTACCATAGCCAAAAGTACCACCATTACCATAGCCAAAAGCACCACCATTACCGTAGCCAGAAGTGCCATCATTACCATAGCCAGAGGTACCACCATTATCATAGCCAGAGCTACCACCATTACCATGGCAAGAACTGCAGCCATCATTACCGTAGCCAGAACTACCACCATTACCATAACCAGAGCTACCATTACCATAGCCAGAACTGCCACCACGACCATTACAGAGCCAAAATTACTACCACCACCTCCACTCAACCACCACCACCACTACTACTACTACTACTACTACTACTACTAACTACTACTAAACTATTAAAAGCCATCTCTAACGACCACCACTTCCATGTCCACTACACTCAACTCCATCCATAATATTCCCACTGAATGAGGCAGTGAAGGCTTGCTACAGCTGTTTTGACAATGACACAGTACAAGTGTAACACTGACAGTACAGGTGTTGTGAAACACTGACAGTACAGAGTTTTGTAGCACTGACACGGTACAGGCGTAACACTGATATAATACAAGTGTAATAGTGACAGTACAGGTGTAACAGTGACACAGTACAACACTAACACAATACAAGTGCAACACTAACACAGTGAAAGTGTAACAGTGACACAGTACAAGTGTAACAGTAAAAGTGTATCAGTGACACAGTACACGTGTATCAGTGACAGTACAAGTGTAAAGTGACACAGTACAGGTGTAACAGTAACACAGTACAGGTGTTGTGTAACACAGTGGTGCTTGGCTGCTACAGGAGTCTGGTCTCCTGGGAGAGGTGACGACGCCAGCACAGCCTCGGGACCATCAAGGATTGAACTTCCTGATCTTCCTTCCTTCAAGGATCAGCCCACTGTGTGGAGCCCCGTCAGAGGTGAGTGTTGATGGGGGTGAGGGGAAAAGTGGGTGTGGGGGGAGCTATGAAAAATGGTGAGGGTGGTGGGGAGGAGAGCCAGGGGGTGGGCGGGGTCTTTGTGGTGGGTGGAAAGGGAGGCAGGGGTGCAGGATGGGGTATAGTGGTGTTGAAGGGAAGTGAGGGTGAGGGGACGTGGGTAAGGTGTGGGTTGATTTAACTTAATTCTGTTTAACATCAGTATAATATCTCTAAGTTCAAAAAAAGATATCTGCAGTGTTGTTATAACAGTGAACACACTGCCATCCATTTTTAGCAAAACTCTCGTTGTGTAATGCGTGGCATATGTACACGAAATTTGTAAGGGAATTGTTTTATATTTGATGTTGATTATAATCATTCATGAAGTGTCCCTTTTAATGGTACTGTACTACTTTTCGATCATTATAACGATTATAAAGTCAGTGTGTTTAGTCCATAAGTCATCTCTGTTTTGGACTGAGGAAGTCGCTGATTAGCAAAACTTTTCTACGAAGATAACCAGGTGTTGCACAGGTGTCTCATTTATCAACTTGTCGGTTCTCCGAACCATTTATATAACAATTCCTGTTAGACACAGCAACATCTTGGAACCTTGATACAAGGAATTCTACGCTGGCCTAACCTATAGGCAGGACCTACTTCCACCTATGGATTTTTCCACTTGTAACGCCGCCTTCTACTGCTTCGCCTCGCCCGTCTGTGGTATATAATCTCCTCCGGGCATATGCTGTATTTTTATCAAGATTGATGGACTAAACACACAATGATTTTACATAATTATAAATATAGATCACATTTTATGACATATTATAATGACTAGTGATTACTGATGACTATCAGCTGTAAAAATTATTAATGAATATTCTTAATAAAAAATATAATTAGAAATATTTTAAAAAAAAGTAATTCAGAAATGGAACACTATCAGTGGAACATTTGAAAAACCCATTTAAATTTAACAACACAATGCAGTTTTAATTAAGGAATAATTCTTTTGCTAAATTGTTTTTGATTAATATTTACTTCTTTTCATTTTTAATATTATTATAATAGTATAAAAAAAATGCTTAAGACACTGTTGTGTTATGCTTTTTTTATATAGTGTGGAAGACCTATTATCATGTCACAGTATATTTTTACTGGGCAGACCGCTAACCCAGCGGCAGCCTCGGTCAAAATGACCGAAAATACCAACGAGTGAGTCATGGTATCACTAAGATCCGCGTAGAGAGAAATTTTCGTAGTTCTCCTGATAAGTAAAATTCCATCTAAAAAAAATCACTCGGAATTGTACAGATTCAGTTTTTGTATTGATTAAGATGAAACTAAAATACTGTCCTGTGTTTCACTAATGAGGTTTCAAAATAATACATATTTGTATTAACTAGGAAACTGAAATGAACGTATTTCACTAACGACTTTTCAAAATATAAATTTGTATTAACTCGACGCAGATTGTATTTTAATAAAGAATTTTTATGACATTTTAAAGGTTTTTGGTAAAAACCAGTTGCTCTGAATTAGTTATAGAAAGTTGCCAGTGTTGCGAATAGCTTAAAATTTCACCTAACCTGTACCTGGACAAGCCTAAAACGTGCTGCTATAGGATCGATTTTTTTTTCACTTAGTTTGATCTGTTTAAATAATGAGAAGTACAGTAGTTTTTGATCAGACAAGTGAAGGTAGTTACTTAACATTAAACTTAAACATTTATGATAGTGACTCCTTTTACTGAACATGTGTTAAACGTTATATTGTATAAAAGACAGTCTGTTACCCATGTAGTGGATCGTATGACCCTATGTAGTGGATCGTATGACCCTATGTAGTGGATCGTATGACCCTATGTAGTGGATCGTATGACCCTATGTAGTGGATCGTATGACCCTGTGTAGAGGATCGTATGACCCTATGTAGTGGATCGTATGACCCTATGTAGTGGATCGTATGACCCTATGTAGTGGATCGTATGAACCTATGTAGGGATCGTAATGACCCTATGTAGTGGATCGTATGACCCTATGTAGGGATCGTATGACCCTATGTAGTGGATCGTATGACCCTATGTAGTGGATCGTATGACCCTATGTAGTGGATCGTATGACCCTATGTAGAGGATCGTATGACCCTATGTAGAGGATCGTATGACCCTATGTAGTGGATCGTATGACCCTATGTAGTGGATCGTATGACCCTATGTAGTGGATCGTATGACCCTATGTAGTGGATCGTATGACCCCATGTAGAGGATCGTATGACCCTATGTAGAGGATCGTATGACCCTATGTAGAGGATCGTATGACCCTATGTAGAGGATCGTATGACCCTCTGTAGAGGACCGTATGACCTTATGTAGAGGATCGTATGACCTTATGTAGAGGATCGTATGACCTTATGTAGAGGATCGTATGACCCTATGTAGAGGATCGTATGACCCTATGTAGAGGATCGTATGACCCTATGTAGAGGATCGTATGACCCTATGTAGAGGATCGTATGACCCCATGTAGAGGATCGTATGACCCCATGTAGAGGATCGTATGACCCCATGTAGAGGATCGTATGACCCCATGTAGAGGGTCGTATGACCCCATGTAGAGTATCGTATGACCCTATGTAGAGGATCGCATGATCCCGTGTAGAGGATCGCATGATCCCATGTAGAGGATCGCATGATCCCATGTAGAGGATCGTATGACCCTTTGTAGAGGATCGTATGACCCTTTGTAGAGGATCGTATGACTCCATGTAGAGGATCTCATGATCCCATGTAGAGGATCGTAGGACTGAAGATATCCACAGAAGTTTAAGTCATTTTCTTGGTAACCAGTACTGTATAAACTTAAATTAACTCTTGCAGTATGGAGGAAAGCCTCTACTCTGTGGGAAAACGCCTTTTCCCCGTGAAAAAAGAAGCTTCTTCCAGTGGTAAAAATCCCTATAGTACTTTGGGAAAAACCTGTGCCCCGTGGGGACAAAGCCTGTGCCCCGTGGGGACAAAGCCTGTGCCCCGTGAGAACAAAGCCTGTGAGCCGTGGGAACAAAGCGAGGCCTTGTTTCCACGGGGCTTGCCTGTTTTCCTGAGGTTGAAGGCACCTCTTGCGTGAGGACAAGAGTGTGCTCAGTTGAGAAGAGATCAGAATTACGTGATTGTCACGTGGACCGCCGAGCGGGTAACACTGTGGAAAGTAATCTTCCGTCGTAATTTCTCTCCTACGTAGCGGAGGGTGACATCGTCATTGGTAATATGAAGGTTACGATTTACGTGAACATGATATTCAGGCGGCTTGGGTTATGTTAAAACGTAAATAGTTTACTAAGCAATGACCTAAACGTTCTATCCCTAGTGGGATTCACCAACGAAAAAAGTGTGTTTTTAATCACTGTTGTCTAGTATTATTATCTGCTTTTTTGTTTACAGCGATGAATGTTTTAAAACAAAACTCGATTATTTTTAAGCACACAATTACTCTCATCCATTCTCACCTTCCCCGCTCACTAACCCACTTCTTCCCCATTCATATTCTTTCATTTACCTTTTTAACCTCTTTTTTTTCGTTCTCTCACCCTACCCTCTCCCCTCTCTCAACTTTCTCTCCCTCTCCTCCTCCCTCATACTCATTATTAATTGCAACTGGCAGCTAATTTTTTCAGCTCCTCCCTACCTCACGTTGTCTTTCAGTACCATCTAACTTCCCTGTCTTATCACCCCCACACTAATTCCTACCAGCAGCAAACTCTCTCTTCAAACCCCACCCCGACCCTCCCTCTATCATAACAAAAGACATGTGGAAGAACAAGAAGCTTGTGAGGACTTGCTTGTGGGACTTGCCCACACACCACTAGTGTTTACTGTCGAAATTCACGTTATCTTCGCTGCTCTCATCACTACTTAGTTAATCTTTGGCATTTACTACGACTTAGGAATGCGCTACCGGCATGTCGCATCATTCCACAGTGCATCCTGTAGTCCATAAAATTCGCTAGTAGTTGACACTTCTTCATTTAACACAAGAACGTTGGGCACAGCTGTTGCCTGGAGCAGGTCTTGATTCGGAACAGTAAGTAGGCAGATGAGGAGGTAAAGGTTTTTGTGTCGAGTACCCTCTACAGGAGACTTTTGGCTCATGGTGACTATGGATCTAGCTCTGTGTTAGAGAGATTACCAAACCCAATGATTTCTGCAGACAAGCTGCCAGCTGTATACAGTTCAGCAGGACGTGAATATTCGGCCCACCGCCTTCCATAGGATTCATCATTAAACGATTATTCTCTACCAATGAAGGAAAGACCACACATTCACCGTAACCACTGTGTACCACTGTCTGCGGTTCACATGTCAGTTGCATGCGCTAAACTTCGGCCTTTTCGGTTTCAGAATGAATTTTTATTATCGTGTTATCTGCTTAGACATTGGCGACATTTTATAATCTGGGGAATCTAGATATGCATGATTTAATGGATTTTGAAATCGATAACAAAGTTATTAACATTTTATGACTGTATTTGTTGATTCAAGAACTTTTTGGCTAGGTGTAGTTTGGATGTAATTTTGTATGTGTATTTTATGTTGTATGCTTTTTAATGTAGAGATCACTGATGCTCCTGCGCTCCCAGCAGTCTGCAGATCCCCAATTCCCGTTGTCCCTTACATGTCCTCCCTTCCCTCGTTAACTACCAACACCAGCTAGCTTTCCGTCTCTCTTCCTCTTCACATTAACTCCCACCATCAGTTGTTACCAGACGAAGGATTGAGTCTCCACAGCTCCTGGTGCTGACTGACTCGCATGGTTTAGCATTTCATGTGAATGTGATTAATAATTTCTTCTCTCCCCCACCCACATTAACTCTCACCACCAACTAACTCTCCCTCTCTCCCCACTCTTCCCTGTAGGACATAGCAACTCGGCCACGTACCATAGCAGCGCTGGGGACGTCAGACAGGAGCACCCAGCCGCACGCTGCAACTGTAAGTCCTCACTACTCTCCTTAACACTTTATTATGTACTCTGCTCCTTACCATCTGTTACTTCTTTGTTAGTAGTTGTTGATGCATGTTGACACCTTTTTTGTGTGTTGACACTTGTTGACACCCGTTTTTTGTAAGTTTTGACACTTGATGAATTCTGACTATGATGCTGAAAGTCTGTTGATCTATGTTAATATGGGTATGGATAAATAATCATCGAATCATAATCGCAGAAATACATAATTGATTTAAATGAATATGACAGTGATATTCTATAAATTAATGATATTACAGTTTCTAGCTTTAGCACAGTACAATTATTTCTGCGTAAGAATCTGTATTGTAAGCACTCTGAAAACTTATCTGGAAAGTTTTATAGACGATTGGACACACAAGACAGATGGTATCTACCGGGAAGACTGGACGCAGAGGAGAGTATGTTAGTAGGACTGAAACACATGCAAACCCCAGTGACTGGTACCCTTGCAACACTCAGGCTGTGCAGTGGTCCCTCGTGCATATACATCATGTTAGTAATAAAATAACGAAGGTCGTATATTTGTAGAAAATGACTCGCGAAAACGTAATAACACTCACTCGCCATTGAATTCAAATCCCACCCGTTCCGTGGTGTGTTAAAAATGATGCATTTTATACAAAGTAACATGTATTATTTATTTTTTAAATAGCGTCCAGGTAAAGGAGATTGTAGCAGGGTTTAACTGAGGGAAAAAGTTGTCCACACCCTAATGAAGAATTAAGACATGCGACATATGGGAATCTTTATTGAAGAAACTTTTCGCCACACAGTGGCTTCATCGGTCTTACACAAAGCAGGAAGGTATAAGGAGAGGAGGAGTTTGAGGTAACCAGTCCCTCAGCCCGGAGGGACTGGTTACCTCAACTTGTCGGTTTTCAAAACCATTCATCACATCTGTCAGATACTGCATCATCATGGGAGCTTGATACAAAGAATTCTTCCAAGCTTGTCCAATCTTTGGACGAAGACCTACTTATACTAGTGGATGGTTCCACTATGACCCCGCCTCCTCCTGCTTCGCCTCACTGACTACAGTATATAAGCCACTGCTTCGGCCTGTGCTGTACTTTGTACAAGATTGATGGACTGAACACATCGACTCCAAGCTGAGGGACTGATTACCTCAAACTCCTAACCTTTACCTTCCTGCTTTGTATAAGCAGGAAGTTATAAGATATAAAGATTCCCATATGTTCCGTATGTTTTTCAATTTTTCATGCCCCACTGAACAAACCTCTGATACACTATATGTTAGCCCAAATAATTTCATAATTATAGGCTTCTGCTTGATGTATAGATCAGTTTCCTTGACAAACTATGTAAGGTAATGGAGATATTAATGAGGAGGATGGTGGAACACTTCGAGACAAGCGGTATCATTTCTGTGGCAATATAACATAAATATAGCAGGAAAGGGAGGATGGGTGGACTGAATACTAAATTGCAAGAAAACATTCGAGATTGTACCGCACAAGAGGCTGGTCAGGAAAGTAGAGGTGCAGGTGCGAATATCAGAGGTATTGCAGTAGATCAAAAGAATAAGAGAGGAGACTGATGGTGTAGGATGACGTTCCTGGCTGGACAAGTGTGGCATATATAAGTGACCTACCAGGAGAATGTCTTGTATAAACAATATAATAAAAATAAATGCAACATATGGGAATCTTTATTGAAGAAACGTTTCGCCACACAGTGGCGCCGCCTCTTGCTTTGACTCGCCTGACTACAGTATACAAGCCACCTCTCTGCTCTTATGCTGTACTTCCTACAAGAGTGATAGACTGAACACATCGATTCCAGGCTGAGGGACTGATTACCTCAAACTCCTCCTCTCCTTACACCTTCCTGCTTTATATTGGACTGATGAAGCACTGTGTGGCGAAACGTTTCTTCAGTAAAGATTCCCATATGTTGCACGTCTCAATTCTTCAAGGTCCTGATATGACATGACTGAACTGTAGGTCGAGTCTAAGAATTCATTACTGGAATCTTACCCCTGCAAATGTAGGGCTGCAGAAATTGAGTTGGGCGAAAGATACCCGAAGTGGAGTACAGACGGAGGTTGCAATCCTCAAGGAGAAGGACCTGATAATGATTGTTGTACAGAGTACATCATGAACCCATACACTAAATGCATTTTCCATTTACGAGACTCTGTGTCTAGAGATTCCCCATCACTTCCGCCATCTTTCTTTCCATCATAGTCTCTGACGACTTCAGCCTTTGTTGATTTGTCTTTTCATACATACACTCCAAAATATCTAAATACATCACTTCAGTACCTCTTCACTTGTTTCTTCTCCGTCTCTGTCATTTTCTAGATTACCGCATATTCTCATATTACAGTTATTTGGTACTTGCTGTCAGCTTATTTTTCCATATACACCTTTCCAAGCTCCTCATCCAATTTTTTTAAGATTCTTTCAATGACATTGCCATATCTACAACCAGCAACTGCTACAAACTCTAGATTTAATATTTGAAGATCATGTTTTTTTTTTCAGAATTGATAAATCAATAAAATTAATATTTATCTAAAGAGATTATTTTCTTTTCATTTCTGTGGAATTTTTCATTTGAGAAGTTTCCAGTGCCGCAGAGAATTTAGATTCCCTTTGAAATGATGAGTACACGGAAGTTTGGAATACTACGTGGGACGCAGTGAGAAAAAAAAGGCGATATGAGGGAAGGGAGGGGCAAGGAAATAGGGAAAAGTGGAGAGGAAATTATGGCGAAAGAACGATAGGAAATAAGGGGTAGAGGGACGAGAGTAAGAGAGGAAGGGAGAGGAAATAAGAGTACGAACGATGTGGGAAGAGAGACGAGGAAAATAAAATAAATAAAAATTTTAGTTGGATCTAGGGCTACACACGAAAATACGTTTGCAAAAATATATTTGCAAGAAATAACTGCAATGCAGATTGTTTTCACATTTCAGTGCCTGCAGTAATTGCTGTAAGCAACAACAGCAACAATGCTCACCATCGTCAGATTATAAGTTCAACGAGCAAGAAACCGAACTGTTGTTGGAAGGATTTTTTACGTAGCTCATAAATTAACAGATGATTTATCTGTGACTCGGTTCCTGTCGTTGATCGTCGGCAGGAAGCTGAAATCTGTAGAGTTATCAGATCTGTTGTAGCCATCACGGTACCGTGGTAGTGCAGGACTAGGACGCGCTAGTGTGTGTGCGTGCGTGCGTGTTAAGTTAAGGTTCCTAACTTTATTTATAAGCTAAGAACTAGCTCTCTCTCTCTCTCTCTCTCTCTCTCTCTCTCTCTCTCTCTCTCTCTCCTCTCTCTCTCTCTCTCTCTCTCTCTCTCTCTCTCTCTCTCTCTCTCTCTCTCTCTCGAGCTAGAAATACTGATATATTCCGATATATTTCTAATTTCAGTAAAGTGCCCGTGTTTCATGGCAGGTATTTAAGTATTCCCAGCTGTATCTCCAGTTCCTCCGTTGAGTATTTCCAGAATACACAAATATATTTCGTATTCTACACAGCTCTATCTGACATTATGTATATTTGTGCAGGTGGGAGGTAGCGTCCTGGGAAGTGAAGGTGGTGGTTGTATTATTAGGTTTTAACTCTGTCGACTATACAAAGATTATTATTGTATTTATTATTATTATTACTCCACTTACAACTACTACTACTACTACTACCACTAGTAATGGCCAGTGTCAGAAGAGCAGTCCGTCACCTGTTCTTAACCAGTCAAGAGGCTTCTTTAATGTCTGAAACAGCAACTGAAGGAACTCTTAGCGTATGTACTGTGATATGTACGCACACCTCTCCCTGGGGTAAAGTGTGTAGCTGAGACGTCTGGGCAAGTTGGCAGGCAAGGGAGTGCAGGTGCATGAGGAAGGGAGGACATTTAAATGAGAAAATGTGCTTTGCTAAGGAGGCTTAGTTGTCACTTTAACAAGGAATGTAGGTACGTAAACCTGGAGATGTGCTTTGATTTTTCGTTGCCCGGACTTGAGGACGAAGGCAAACGAAACGCTTCAAAACCTTGCACGAAGAAAACGGGCATGGCAAACAAACAGCTACACGTTTTTCAGACGGAGAGAGAGACGAGCATGCAAAAAATAGAGGCAAATAATGAACATTAACAAGTAGTGGACAGTCGCATGGCAGTGGAGAAAGAAAAATCATTCATTCACACAGCATAGTAGAACATAGATTACAACTAGTATGGAAGACAAATGAGATGTGTTGTACACCCAAGGCCAATAAGAAAATTAATTATATAAGTGGACTCCTTACAGAAATGCACGCGCGCGCGCGCACACACACACACACACACACACACACACACACACACACACACACACACACACACACACACACACACACACGTACGTTTGTGAAGTTTGTGACAACGAGGTATGGTTACAAACCTATATTGTATGTAGATTTGAGAATAAAGAAGTCGTACGAATCCATATTAGAGATTCGCTTTCTTGTGAGAAAGTATAGAAATACCGGTAGTCAAAGTGGAGAAAGGAAGTTGGTAATCATTCTTGCATAAAAACCACTGCCTTTATTACCTGGAAAACCCTACACCAAATGTTATCCTCCTTGGAGATTCCAGTCTGCCACGTGTTGAGTGGAAGGTAGTTGACAGCAGCATTGTAGCAGACATACTCTAGTATCTGGTACCACGTTGGTCCAGCAGACATGTATCAGAAAATATTGGTGCTCTGTGAGATTTTGATAAAAATACAAACCAGAGCTTTGTATCATCCTTTGCGAATGACAAAAATTAGCATGAGTCACCTCGGTAGAGGAAACCGGAAAAGCTACAATGGGATATAAATACACAAATAACCCGCACATAGAAGAGAGGAGCTTACGACGACGTTTCGGTCCGACTTGGACCAAATCGGACCGAAACGTCGTCGTAAGCTCCTCTCTTCTATGTGCGGGTTATTTGTGTATCGTTCCAGTCACGGTATT